CAAAAAAATCATTTTTTTTTTTACAAGTGCCATGGAAAAATAGGTTGCTAGACACCTTAAAAAAATTCTCACCAAATATGAGCTCTTAATTTTAAGAGGAAGATCCTCCGCATCGCAGTTTTTTATTTTTTTCTCAGTCCAATAGAATAAAATTCATACCTCATCATTAATTGATTGTACAGAAAAATGTTCTGGACGAATTTTGTAGAAAATTTAATGCTCTACAAAAAAGGTATCTTATATTTTTTTTTGTGAACCTCACCATTTGAATGATATTGAAGATTTAAGTTTGATTATTTTAAAACAAATTTYATTTTTGTTTATGAATTTTATAACTCGACAATAAATGACTATTATAAAATGCGCAATACAAATTTTTGTAGAAAATTTAATGCTCTATAATAATAATCGTAATATTTTACGAAATCAAATTCAAATGGTCATGATTAATACCAATGCAAACTGGGTAAAGAGTTATTGAAGATTCATAGAGAGTTTCGGGAATACTAAACAATTAACTCGAAAATGTATTATTACCAAGTAATATTAGAAAGCATTTTTTCGTAATTTTATAATATATTCAATAGCATTAGTTTAATTATTCCTCATTCGATTCTTGCAATTACTCTATTCCTTTTAATTACTAATAATAGGCTTACTTCTATAGATGATTTTAAGCGAGGCAAATAAATTGATATAAAAATTGTTCTTTTAATAATATCATTGTTAGAATAATTCTAATGAAATAAATTGTATCTCGAAAATACGAAAAATAATTAAATAAATAACTATAAAAAATTAAGCAGAAAGGATGGTGTCTCAGTCAGCAAGCGTCGCTAATAGGGATCATACACAAGCATCTTGTAACGAAGCCAAATGGGAACTGTAGAAGGAGATAAGCGAAACTATATTATTCGTGAAACGCACCTACACATACAAGTACGAACACACCTACATATTTATGTATGTATATTATACCTATTTATTTAACTCGAAGCTCAGGCATGCACATATTCTATGAATAAACATTTCATCGAATTTGTGATTGAAATAATTTCGATATAATCGAATTCGAAATTTTTATAAATTTTCAATAATTTTCTAACTGCTCAATTTACTTCAAAAATAAATTAGAGAATAATTCATTTTGTTTGAAACTTAGTTTGATGTGGTTACGAGGAATGATCGATTATCTCTGCAAATTTTGTGAGGATTGCACGGTTATTACCGTCGAATCATAATTAGCATAACCATTCATACGATCATTTATCAACAAAATAACATGTTACTCCTTTCAAATAATCTATTTGAAGTGGCCAGCATTTCTATGTCGATTTACGTTTTATTTACTTCGTCGATCGGTAAATATACATGCATTATTCGTTATTTATATAGTTAATTTTATAAATAATACGAAATATCGTTAAAAGGAAAATATGTAATAATTCATTAAATAAACAATAGACAATTATTTGCAAATTATACACTGGTTTCAACATAAGGCATCGTATAAATAACTATTCTTCCTTTCTCTCCTTTCCACTTTTAATCTTACTGACACTTTCTTTTTTATTGAAAATATAAACTCGCATTTACATGGCACATATATAGATCTTGTTGTCACACCGGCATTCTGTCATCGTCGTTTTGATAATACAATAACGCACGCTTATGTCGTAATGTTCAACGACGCATATGTCGCATTATAGCTTTGTGGTCGCATACCGCAAATTGATTGTTTGACATAATTTTGGCTGCTACACAGGGCGAAATTTGTTTCGATGTTTTTTTCATTTTCCATGAATAAGTATAATTTTAATCGTGACAATTCTTTAATGATAAATATAACAACCATAAATAAACTCTTATACGGATAGAGAAAAACTCTTGAGGTTCTTTTATTATTTAGTAATGAACTAAATCTCATTAAAAAATTAAATTATTTATAATAAAAAACAGATATAATATATCACAAAATTATTACCAAAATAAAGTCACTTATTGGAAAAATACGAAAAAACTTTGTCCCCGATAAAATATTATTATATGTATATAGTAAGGAATATCAATAAGTCTATCATTTACAGTAATTTGTACAACGTACATACAATTATTTTAGTATGATTAATATTAACGATATTTTATACCATGAGAATTTGTCTGAGGTGAGACTTTTTTTTTAATCAATTTATGTCATATGATCATTTTACCTTTATGAAGATTAATTACAATTATCGCCTAAATTTTAGTACGACGAATTAAATATGTTTTATATCAAGTAATAATACTTTTCACATCTGTCTTTCGATCTCTAAACCTTTGATCTTTCAACGAAACAATATTCTTCTCTTAATAATACGATCCTCGAAGAAGGTGGCTGATTTTAGTGAAACAATGGCATGTTCAAATAATGACGGATTCGCTTTCGATGATATCCATTGTTCCAGCGAAAATTCAATCAAAGAGATTGCCAAAGGCGTTGCACAATCGTTTAGTTGGTGCTAGTATTTCGATAAAAAAGTAATGCATGAGTAACGAGCTAATAGAAATGTAAATGACAGTAAATTTAAAATTCAATTTAGGAAAAATTCTATGAATGCCGTGAACGATAACAGTTATAGGCCATAAGTACGACTTCGATCGAAAATAAACGTTTAGTTTGATATTTTTTTTTTAATAGTTCTGCGATCGTCCTAGTTCTTTTTTTTCTATATTTTTCCTTTTATTTTTTTTTTTTATCAGATTTTGTTCCAACCCTAATAGATCACTTAAATTTGTTCCTTTTACCTAGGACGTCTAATGGAAATGTGCGATTTTCGAATAGCTATTGAGGACTTTAAAAGAAATATTAATTTATTAGGAAGAATAATTTTTTTCGTTTGAAACGCCAAAAGCTATAATAAATTTAAAGATTAATAAATTCTAATTTATCGGTTAATTTATTTCTTTTTTTTTTTTGAACTGTTATATTATATTAATTTATTAATAAAAATATATAACCGTGTTTGATTGCCAATTCCTGACTTAACATTAAAATCAAGCAATAGAACACGATTAGTAACATGGATAAGTAGACCGTCCAGAAAAATAAAAGATAAAAAAACTGTGTGCTGCGTTCACACCAGACACGATAAAAAAATTCGACCTTTTTGGTTGTATTGAATAAATATGGGAAGATGTTAGTAGAGAAGTGACTGGAATCTGTAAAATAAAAAGTAAAAAGATAAGATTATTGATAAAAATAGAAGTATTCATATATACAGGGTGGGTCACCACATTTTACCACCTTGATTTACGTTTTTATTATTACGCGTAGCAGACAATGTTTTGGCTGTGTTTGGTTGAATGGCTTTAAAAGGGGCTCATACTGATTGTACTTTTTTTTTTAGGTGGGCGTGTCAAGGACATATGAAGGTCATTAATGTTTTTTTAAATGGAATCATATATTTTTTATTGCATCATCTGCTGCTCTTTCATATTATTTACAAAAAAGTATTAACCTATTTATGTAAAAAAATTATTACTTTAGGAGATATTTTAATTTTTGTCTATTTATAAAAAAGGTTCAATATGGCCACCATTTGCATCAGAACACTTTCTGAATCGAGAAATTAATGACTCATTAACGTTTTTTAATGTATCTGATGTTATTTTTTTGCATTCATTGACGATACGATCCCTTATATTGGCCATTGTAGTCGGAGGCTCAGCGTAAACTTTATTTTTTAAGTAGCCCCATAAGAATAAGTAGAGGGGCGTTTGATCTGGTGACCTAGCCGGAAAATGAAAAAGTTGTTTCTTTGAGTGAGAGCCCAATTACAATTTTTTTACATAAATAAGTTAATACTTTTTTGTAAATAATATGAAAGAGCATCAGATGATGCAATAAAAAATATATTATTCCATTTTAAAAAACATTAATGACCTTCATATGTCCTTGACACGTCCACCTAAAAAAAAAAAAAAGTACAATCAGTATGAGCCCCTTTTAAAGCCATTCAACTCCATGTGAAACATTGTCTGCTACGCGTAATAATAAAAACGTAAATCAAGGTGGTAAAATGTGGTGACCCACCCTGTATATAAAGGCATGCCGATAAAATGAAAAAGGATTTGTATTTTATGAAAATATTGGATGCGTTCAATATATCGTATAAATTTTTAACGATGATATTCATTCATATCGTGATGAGAAATTAATTAATAATCCTGATTTAATTCAAGCGTTCGATCGTTCGTAAAAATAATGCCAATCAATGTTAACCACCACAAGGTGGTATAATATCGATGATTGAAATAAAAATAATTGATATCGAAGTATCGTAATAGATATTTAATTACTTATAATAATATGTATATCGTTATGCAATCAGTGTATAGTCAGGTACGGATACGTTATAGTAAAGTTAGAGGAAGCGTTTCGAAATATCTCATAATTACAAGTTTGTTGCAGCTTCCAGTGTGTAAGCAAGTTTCAAACTGCATAGGTTAAAGGTCTACACGAAACATGGAACGTAGGAAATTTCACGGTAATTAGTTGGAAGGGTGGACTCTGCCGAAAGGAGAAGTTTCAGGGACACTCGTACGATCAAACAACTTGTCCAAGGAAAGTTATATCCTTTACTTAACTACTCGGTTCATGATGAAAATCTTAAGAAAATCTTAAGAAAACAAAAATAAAATTTCAAATGATTTATTTTTTTTTTCGATCTCTAATTGAATGAACATTTTTACATTTTCTTAAACTTTTCAGTTTGCCATTGAAGTTAGGTTTATATCACTACTTATTTCAGAATATAATTTTTCATGATATCGTTCTGAATAAAGAAAAAGAAGAAGACACCGATCAATAAAAATCAAAGAAACGAATAAATACTGTAATTTGTGATCAAAAATAGCTATTTTGTAAATTAATTAATTGAAAATAAGAATATAAACAATAATTGTATATTATAATATTTAATCTAAATATATATATTGAGAGTAAAACAGAGTCGCCAGTCTAGAAAGATACTACCAACGCTTATAAAACTTGTCCAGAATTGTTCGATAAAACAGCACCGACAGAGGGACGCATCAGCGCGCTAGCTGCGAGATAACCCGCATCCATGTCGCAGGTTACCAACCTTGCACCCTTCGATTACCACGGTAGGGTGCAAATCGTAGGGAGAGGTCAGTCCAAGTTACAAAGATTCATCTCACTTTTACACGAAAGTCTTTCGATGCGTGCGTTATACGTGATCAACGCATCCATCTTTCTCTCTTCTTTTTCTATCTCTTTTTATTTTTCGTCTGTTTCTACTTTCATATTTTTCAGTATCTTCACCTCATCCTCCTCTGACACCACCATCACTTCCCCCGCATCCTCGAATTTGTGAAGATCTAAAGTATCGATAGAAATCTGTTATGATCATTCTTACCTAGATCTTACCGAAATGTTAGAACGTCAACAGAAACGGCAAGAAAGGAAATGCACTTATTGGCTAGCGTCTGCGCTTTCATATTGATCTGTGTCTCGGTCTGACGTTGAGCGCACGAGTTTACGGGTGGGACAACGGGTCAACGCCGCCCAAAAATGTATATTTTTTTGAGATTTTCACGATTCATCTTAATATCGTCGATACTCTGTATCGGTAAGCACGACAAAACTTAATGTTCATGATTAATTTAGCACTATTTATATTTTTCTTCTTTTGAAAATGTCTTTTATTTTCCCCGAATTTTCCACGCATGATTCGACTAACCCTTTTCGTAGGTCTCTGTTCCGAAGATGAGGAAAGATTGGTGCGAGATCTTTTCAGAGGCTATAACAAACTTATCAGACCGGTACAAAATATGACGGAAAAGGTGCACGTCAAATTTGGACTCGCCTTTGTACAGCTCATCAACGTGGTGAGTTAGATTATTTGTTTTTCTTTTTTTAAATAAAACAATTTTATTTTCCTTTTTTTTCTTTTCTTTCCTTTTATTTTCGCTTGACCTTCGTTTCGTTATTTGACACCTCGAGATAATTGAAGGATCAAAACTGTAGTAAGTATTAAAATTCCTTGATTAAACATTCGTCTAACCAATTATTCAAATATTAATCTTTAGAACGAGAAGAATCAAATTATGAAGTCGAATGTATGGTTAAGATTCGTATGGATGGATTATCAATTACAATGGGATGAAGCTGATTACGGTGGTATTGGAGTACTTAGGTTACCGCCTGACAAAGTATGGAAACCAGATATAGTATTGTTCAACAAGTAAGTCTAAATATATCTACACATGATTTTGTTTCTTTAGAATGAAAAAAATGACTAGATCTACATATACATAAATTTTATTAATGATGTTCATTTCAGTGCCGATGGTAATTACGAAGTACGTTACAAAAGTAACGTATTGATATACCCAAATGGTGAGGTACTTTGGGTACCACCAGCGATTTATCAAAGTTCTTGCACAATTGACGTCACCTATTTCCCATTTGACCAACAAACATGTATTATGAAGTTTGGATCATGGACGTTCAATGGCGATCAGGTATCCTTAGCCCTTTATAACGACAAAAGTTTTGTCGACCTCTCGGATTACTGGAAAAGTGGTACCTGGGATATAATAAGTGTGCCAGCTTACTTAAACGTCTATCCCAGCGAATTACCAACCGAAACGGATATCACGTTTTACATAATAATACGACGAAAGACCTTATTTTACACTGTGAATTTGATCCTACCTACCGTCTTGATTTCCTTCCTTTGCGTTTTGGTCTTCTATTTGCCAGCCGAGGCCGGTGAAAAGGTGACACTCGGTATAAGTATTCTCTTATCGTTGGTCGTGTTTCTTTTATTGGTTAGCAAGATCTTACCACCCACGTCTTTGGTATTACCGTTGATTGCCAAATATCTTCTATTTACTTTCATCATGAATACCGTCAGTATTCTGGTAACCGTAATCATCATAAATTGGAATTTCCGTGGTCCACGTACTCACAGGATGCCACAGATGATACGAAAAGTATTTCTCAAATATCTGCCTAAGTTTCTTTTCATGCGAAGACCGAAAAAAACGCGTCTCAGATGGATGATGGAAAATCCAAGCGTAACACTACCAGCCTCAACTTATTCCGGTAGCCCTACGGAGTTACCAAAACATCTACCATCTTCTTTGGCCAAGAGTAAGATGGAAGTGATGGAGTTATCCGATCTGCATCATCCTAATTGCAAGATCAATCGTAAGGTTCATCATACGACAAGTGGTTCGAGTGCAGCTGGTCCTGGTGAAGCTCTAGGCGATAGAAGAGGTTCCGAAAGTTCGGATTCTGTTCTTCTCAGTCCAGAAGCTAGCAAAGCTACGGAGGCAGTTGAATTTATAGCTGAACATCTTAGAAACGAAGATCTCTATATACAAGTAAGCTCATAATTTTTTTCTTCCATTTCTTTTATGATTTATCGTGTTATATTATTTTTAAACTTTTCTCTTGTTTTTTATTCTCCTTTAGACAAGAGAAGATTGGAAATACGTTGCGATGGTGATAGATCGATTACAGCTTTACACCTTCTTCATAGTCACCACAGCTGGTACCATAGGGATCCTAATGGACGCACCTCATATTTTCGAGTACGTGGACCAGGATCATATCATAGAAATATATCGCGGCAAATAATCGCTTTTATGCATCATGTCATATATCTTTTTTTTTTCTTTCGTTCGCTGCTACACTATCATTGACTAAAAAGAAAATTCTTTTTTTTTTTTATATATTTATACCAATGCGTATTTACTTGCAAATTTACATACGAAAATTCATAATCATTTAACGATCGTTAGCCTAATTTTCATACCAACTCGTAACGGAATCGTCATCAGCATTAATTATTTTCTTCTTGAGAAGGTTCAAAAAATTTAATTCGACAATTTCTTTTCATTTTGTGTTCTATTTTTTTTTCTACGAATAAATAAAAATAACAGAGCCCGTGTAACTTCCCAGAGATAGAACCAAAAAAATGTCTTATTATAAATGAAACGGCAATATAATATTCGCAATTTTTCAATTGAACGACAGCTTGTTTCTTTACGCTAATTATTCCAATGATAATACAAGGAAATGATAGAGGCTTAAGAATCTGTATTTTTTAAAATATTTTTCAAATTTTAAATAAATATTCATTAACGATTATCGCTTAGATATTTGTTGATCATGAATTGAAAAGTAAAATACAGTATGTTCGGTTATGAAGAACGAAACTTTTCAACGAGATATAAAAAATATCATTAGAATTATCGTAGTTGCCTCTACTGTTATCGTCTTCCTTAACGCTAATGATCTATCATAAATTTCTTCGCGCGAATTTAAAATAATCAATCGATTGAAGAGAAGAAAAGCAAACAACGTTTTTTCTTGACTTTTTTCGATTGTGTCTCATTGCTGATATCTTTGATATCTAATATTAAAATATTAAACATATTATCAAAATCGTATAACATAGTTTTTAACATTAAACGTAAATTTAACATTTACGTTGAAATTAATTGCTTTGATTTAATGATTATAAAAAAAAAGGAAAAGGAAAAGGAAAAATAACGGGACATTATTCAATTAATTTAGACTCTCGTATATCGTAATAATGCAAACTGATTTTTATAAAAGTGACGACCCTGAAACAAAAAAAAACGATTAGATTTTTATAAGTTTCGTAATTATTGATAAAAAGAGAAAGAAAATTGTGAATGGCGAAAGGAAAAGATTGTATTATTAATCAATTATGGAATTTTGTCCTGATCGAAAGAAAAGAAAATCATATTAAATAGCTTTATTAACGCGCACATTAGAAGCACAATGTCACGGTCCTGTGTACTTTTATTCATTATTAGAATATCGTACGTATTCGTACAGACATCTACTAATCGTACATATAAATCTTAATAATTGCATCCATATTGTACAGAAGATTGTTAAACGGTCATGTTTTCTCTAATAGAACGTTTGTCTCTCGTAAAGAAAGAAAGAAAGAAAAAATTAAAGAAAAGGAAGAAAGATTAAAAGAATAAAGTAATAATGTTCAATTCGTTAATTTTATCGAATTTGTTATAGCCTCTCTGGTGCCTCGAGATTTATCCCATCGTTATCGATTATAGATAAATGAAAAATAACAGTTGAAGAAAAATAAATAAAAAACAAACCGTTTGTAAATATAGATAATGTTTAGTTTGATTCGCAGAAACGACTATTATTAGCGAATGTGATCGTTAATTTTATGCTTATAAAAACCATTAACGCGAGCTACACATCCCCTCGTAATCCCATTGTAAATGCCATTCCGTCTCTATTGTCGATCAATCAGAGTTTATAATATAATGAAAATAATTATTCGGCATGTGAATCATACATCTATATATATAGGATATTATAATACAATTATATTGTATTACGAATTGAATTCGTTTGAAAATCTTCGGAAGTTATCGAAAATCTTCCCTACCTACGATTAGCGTATATCGCGTCGATGCTTTAACGATCGATTTATTTGTAACAAGTTCTTTTTATATAGAAAAAAAAAGATAAAAGAAAAAAAGAAAAGAAAAATGATTTCGATGTTTTTCAATAAAATCATGTACAGATATATCCTATATTTAAATAGGATAAATAAAGAACTTGTTATACGAGAATGATTAATCGTTAGAGGGTCGATTCATCTTGGATAGTATGCCATGCGTCTTCCTCAAAGAAATACAATAATTAGAATGTAGACACAGATATATAAGCTGACTAGGGTTTGTGCTAACTGCCGATTTTTCGTTCCTTCCATTCGATATTCTTGCTCGAAGGAGACGAGTCCTTTTTATTTTTGTCTCTTCTTAAATGAAATTTTTTTCTTATAAATCAATCGAAACAAGTTTCTGCCGACGATATATATATACATAAAATAAAATAAAATTTAAAAAAAGGGAATATTAATTATTTTCTTTTAAAAAGAGGTACCTTTTTTGGTTAAATTCATGAGTATGTTAGATCTTGAACGTTTAACGAACACTGGCACAATTCCTAGTGGTTTAAACGTGTTTGTTGTTAGGTAAATAATTAAATGAAAGATGAAGTATGAAAGTGTGCTCTGTGTAATAAGATGAACCTGACTTATACCTGCGCAAAAATGAATTTCTTTTTTTATCTTATAGAGAAAAAGATGATCGTATTATCGAATGTATATTAGTTTACGTTACGTGTAAGCGGGAAAACTGTTAAACCGAAGATTTGTACTTTATTATGCATTATGTATATTATGCCCGTATCTACATTAAATTAATTTGTTAGTTAATAAAGATGTTATTCGATTAAGTAACCAACCGATAGTTCTTTTTACGAGAAAATAAAGTCGCAATCAACTTAATCTAATCTTACCATTTTTTTATATAAATATACGTATACACAATTTTTTTTTCTTTTCTTTCAATCTTCTCGAACGTTTCAAAGTCATTTCTCTCATAAAATAAAACATTTCAAATTATTTAATTTTATTATAATATTCTAATTCTAGTTTGGATATATTTAAATATTATTTTTTAATATAGACTATCGTAATTAATAAAATTGGAACGGACATCGAATCGTATTTAAGCGAAAGAAAGTAAAAAAAGAAGGAAATGGAAGACGTTTATTTTCATTTCATTTATTTCAACAATTTCATAATAACGTAATAATGGTAATAATATTACAATGCGGCGATTATGTGCTCACCAGTTAACAGGGATTCTCATATCGATCAACGTTTTTTTCTGCCTCGAAAAAGAGCCCAGTATAGAAATATAACAAATGTTTTTCATTACTCTTGTTTGTCTCCCTCAATATGAATTTACTATTGTTAGACTAGGCTATTGTCGAGGCATAATTAAAAGTCAAGTGAGATCGGGGTGAGTCAGTTCAATCGCATCGTCCCACCAGGGTCCAAACGGGAAAAAAGTAGTGATGGTAGTAATAGTAGTAGTGGTAGTAGTAGTAGTAGTAGTAATAGTATTAGTATTAGTAGTAGTAGTAGTAATAGTATTAGTATTAGTATTAGTAGTAGTAGTAAATAGTCATTCGTATTTTTGTTATCTTTTCCTTCATTTCTCGTTTATTTTTAAACTAACTAATTTTGGCGTTCTTCCTCTTCTAGAATTCACGGGATACGCCGATCTTTAGTTTATTTTTATCTTCATTTGTTTTTTTTCTCATTTTTTCATTTTTTCATTAATAAATGATTACACTTGAGGCATCATTTGTAAACGCTTCGACGATTGATGTAACGGTGGACAATATAGGAGACGATCTTTTTCTTTAAAGTATATTAGGGGAATAATGTTATTAGGTATAAGAAGAGATAGATTATGTCAATATATAATCGGTCTCTAATAGTCTCTTGTCTTCGTGTATGTATATGTCAGTGTATGTTTCGTTTGTGTGTGTGTGTGTGTGTATGTGTGTGTAAGAGTGTAGGTGTATATTTTGTCAGCACTTTTTTCTTTTAAAATTTAAAGGTTAGTTTAAGATAATTAGGTTTTTTTTTCGTTAGTTTAGAGAGAAAGTGATTTTCGATAAAGTTGACCCTAACTTCTAACAAATCTACCTTGAATCGCCCCTATAATTACTGTCAAAGTATTAACTACGTCTCTATTAATTACAGGCTAGCTTTAATATTCAGTTAATTGATTATTAATTTTTTTTGGTTTATACGAATATGACCTTCAGCATTCAATAGTTTAAATATGTATAGATTATATTGAATGGTACACGTTTAATCATTCCAGTTTTCATTAAATTTTGCGATTATTCTCACGGTATCATTTCTTCTTTTCTTGCTTGTCACATCTTGCTTTTTGCACTATTCCTTTCAACTTTGATTCTATCGTTTATGAGTACACATTCGATTTTTTTACATCACTTATTTAAATAGATCAGATTACGTTTCGCTGGATAACAAAGTTTCCACAATTTGCACGTAATGAGCTAGCGTGATAGTTCAAAAAACGAAAGGAACAAGAATTGCCTGTTGAAAAAAAATGATTACAACTTGTCTGCTTCGTGTTCTCGTGTATCTTTTCTTTTTTTCTGGATATATTTTTTATTCTTTCTTTTTTTCAACTTCTTTTATCGTTTTAAGTACCTCTTTTCATTTACAAATAACTGTCTTTTGTAAAAATCGCTTTAAATTCAATTTATGGCTGTGACATGTTTATTCGTTCGTTCGTTCGTTCATTCCATTGTTATACCTTTTTTATTACTTAAATAATTTTCTTTTTTCTTTTTTTTTTTTTATACATGTTTCTTCATCGAGGCCAGAACCTTTTTCCGATCGCGGTAATCTTAAGAAATAAGAGGACTGACACGGAATTTCGTATTGCAAATTCCTTTTTTGGTCGCGTTACAAATGAACGGATAGATCTCAAGGCTAATTATTAATTATTATTATCGATGATTTTAATTGAATGAAAGATAGTAGACGAAAAATGCAAACTAAAGTAAGCAAAAAAACGAGTAAACAAAATATTATTTAGTCGTAATACCAAACTAATAAACAAGAAAACGATAAAAGATATAAAATATCAATTAATTTTGTCGATCTTTACCTAATAAATAAATTATTCTTATTTTTTAACATAAGAGAAAGAAAAAAAAGAATAAAAATCGCCCGTGCGTTTTCCTTTCGTCTTTTTGTTTCTAAAAACAACACAATTTTCGAACACTTATTCTCTCATCTCTTTTCTTCTCTTCTCTACTCTCCTCGCGTTTTGGCTAGTTAACGTTTTCTATGCGATTTCGCGCATTTGTTTTGAAATAAGCTATAAAGATTTGGCACTTGAAAACTCGCATCTCATGTAATCGGTTAAATTCTAATTATACTCACTGCTTCGTAAAAAGCACGCGCGCGCGTTTCTATTTTTATTTTTATTTTTGTTTTTTTTTCTTTCTTCTCGTTAATAAATCGACTGTTTTGGCAATGATTATTTGATTAGCTTTTATGTATTATTTAATTAGATAAGATATTTTTTAATAATCATTTTGCGATTAGTCGAAATTTATCAATTGAGAAAATTTCGAAAACGGATTGTCGCTTTCGTTATCATCTCGATAAAGGACCATCGATAAAAACTACACGTGGATAATTATAATCGATCGATCTTCAATAACGAGACATGATGGATAATGAACGCTGCACTTTGCACTATCTTATTTAAAAACATTTTCCTTCTGGTCTTCTTTTTGCTCCTCCCCCCTCCACAACTCAAATACGAGCATCGATTCTTAACGTCGCTTGCCATTTGTTTACGATTTTATTATTATTTTCGTGAATACAAACTGTTAGAAATTACATTATCGGTGAAAAGTGCGTTGAGAATCGCGATAATTTTAATCATCGATGATGTTTTTTTCCTTTCGATGAGAATTTGTCTATTAAACTTAAACGAAAGGATTACCAATTGCATATTTCGTCCATTATTTTTTTGTCTCTCGATTCCTTCTTTCA